AACTAAACTTAGATTTCGAAAGATTGAAGCTTATTTAAATTTCTAAATGTTTAATTATATGTTAGCCAAGAAAGGCATTAAAAATAAATAAATCAACACAGAAAATAAACAATGAACTAATGCAACTGAGAGGTCGCACAATGAAAATAACTTAGCTGACTAATACATAACGTAGATGGTGATTCATAGATAATATACGTTGAAGTATTGAGTTTGTGACTACAAGGTGAAAATAATATAACAATCATGACAATATAAGCAACAGTGATAATAAAGCAGTAAGAATATGATAGCAAAAATAACAATATGAACAGAACAATAACAAATACGATAAATAATAATAAATAACAATTAATAGTGACAATAAACAAATACAATGACAATAAGTAATAATAAAAATAATAGTTGTAGCAACGGGGGATAATAATGGAAGAATTATTGCAAAGTAATAGGTGACAGGAAGAGGAATGTTGTGCGATGACAGGGGAAATGCACACTATTAACAATAAAATTGGCATATAGTTATGTTAATTTGGTATCAATACCAAAATAGGGACGCAAATGAAGAAATCATTTTGAAAACGAGAATGATGGTATTGGCAAATGACGTCATTTAACCGGAGAATAGGTACACAAAAAATCTAAAAACAATGCTTATTGGTATCAAGTGCAGGAAAAACTAATAACTCACAAGAAAAAATCGATATAATAACACCGCAAAAGTATTATTAATATGCATACAAATATCAGAACTGTTACTATGAGAAAGTTGAAAAATAGAAAATTGCAAGGAATTGCCCATCCACTACTACTATAATATTTCTTTATATGGCTTTTGTCATTCAACATTATCTAGTAAAAAAAGATCTATGGATTATGTATATATATATTATCAGTGAAAATGATACTAGAATTTCAGTACAATACTCTCTCCAAGCTTTGAGATCATCCTTGAATGTTGGCAGTGACAATTGGGGAAATTCATTTACTGTTGGATGAGAACATACCTAATGAAACTTTTTGAAGTAAGATTCATATTACAATACTTGATGTATGATATAATAGCAACTCTTTTTCGATTATTCTAATCAATCTTCTACCTAACTGTTAGAAATCTAGACAGAGATACAATTATACGATATATTATCTTATTCTTTCCATATGTCATGTCATATTACATTGGCAGTCATTGGCATATTGCTGAATTCGCTTCGTTCTACTCACATTTGCACTTATTATCCACATTCAATAAACCAATAACCTCAAAGGAATTTGTCATCCAATTGATTTATCTAAACAAATTTTTTTCCCTGCTAGGAAAAAATGAAAAAAAAAGGGAAAGTGAGAAGAAAAATGACTTTAATGTTGTAATATTGCTGATTTTAGTTTAGTTGAGTGAATCATTCTGAAGAAAGAAAGTTTCTTCCTTTGAAACGAAACGATACTTAAAATTGGTAGCTATTTTGAACGGAATTTTCTTGAATAAAAATTTAAAGAGGAAAAAAAAAAGAACAATATGCAACCTAAACATTTTATGATATTTTTCCGAAATTTATGATAAATTTTCGTTTTTTGATTTCCTAAGAAAATGCTTTATAATTTATTGCAATACAATGAGATGGATGAAGTATATACACTTTGTGCATATCCCACTTTTAGCAGAATTATTATCTTTCAATCTATATCGATATACCTTTATTCCAAAGACAATAAATCATATCATAGCTATCTATATATATAGACAGAAGAAACACATATTTTTAGTATCAATAAATGATTTGTATAAATAAAGAGAGACTAGGTGGGATTTATCCTATTACAACTTTGAAACGTTTAGCTCATATTCTGTCAATAAAATAAGTCACTCACCAACTAGCGGACGCAAAACTACGATCCAACCACTCAATATACGCACTTGTAAAAGATTGCATTGATTGACTACCACTTCAGTCAACTTATTCTGCTTCTATCTTGGACTGATTATTGATGCAGGCCTAAGCTAGCATTATTCAACTGTTATAGCGAATATCTGAGAATAGAAGTTAAATGACTAGAAATGAAAAAATTTAACAACGTTAATGTCAATTTCATAAATATCTAAAAAAAATGTTTACAAGAAATAATGCAAATATAGGCACTCTTCTTTGTATATAACATTCTATTAAAAGACTATAAAACTAAAACAGAAAATTTTTAATAATCGGAAGTGAAAATTATATGAAGAAAGAATTAACTGACTATGCTGCTGTTACTGCTTCGCCATCTATATCATTTCAGTAAAATGTAAACGGTCCAGCTGTGTCATTATACCACTTATGGACAAAAAAAGAAAACCAAAAAAAGGCGAAATAAAAAGAAGAGTTGTTACTGCTATTGCTGTAGCATTTAGGGTACAAAGTCAATAGATATCGATCTACAAAATATGTATATGGAACCCTTTTCTCGCAACTCCATCCTAAAGCGCTCCTCCTCTATCTCCTCCAACCGGTCCAGCAGTCATCGATGTATTTATAACTAAAACAGCCGCAAACTCCACTCTTTTGGATAGATGTAAAAGACATTTTGCGCATTCAATATTTGAAAGAGTGATTCTTTTCTTCCCTCTCTATACTTTCTTCCTCCTTTCCTTCCTGTATTTCAAGTAGCAAATGATAAATCCAAAAACGCTCATCTGTTTACCTCAATTAATATCTTATTCTTCAAACTAATCTTAACTCTAATAATGACAATAAACATTCATTATAAATATATTCTGATAAATTATCGTAGAAATTTGAATATATCAGTCGAAAATCCTCCCCGCAAAATTTAAAATATCCTTACATTAATTAAGAATTTCAAATACATCCTTTGTTAGTATCTCCTACAACAAACTTAATGTAGTGGTTCATTTCTACCAATTTTTAGAGTAAAACAGAAATAATTCCTCGTTATACCTATTTCTCCTGCTTATCACACATGATAACTAACCTTCGTTTCCGAAATATTACACAGGAAATTAAAACAGGATAAGCACCTAATGCTAGAATATGCATTTAAAATTTGAGAGTGAAAGAAATTAAATAATAATTCATAAGAACGAGGCATCGTTTGTAAAAAGTAAATAGTACTCTGAAGGTATAATTTTTGTAATTGATACTAAACTAAAAATACTTAAAAATCTCGGTACATAACAATACGAAAATGATAAATATATATATTAAGATCAATCTGACATTCATAAATTTCTCTTAACTATTCTCAATAAATTCGAACTATTCCAACAAATTCAATCACCTGCAGAAATGCATCCAACTGTGCAATAATTTACCATCTTTTTAATGCGTTCATTTTTAAAAGAATTTTTTTCATTTCTTGGGAATAACAAATTACTAGACGTTATTCCCACAAAGATATACATACCATCCGAAAAACGACATCCATTTATGAATCACACTGAATTCATTTATACCTATCTATCTGTTAATATACATGTCGACTTCAACTATAGAAAATCTTCACCAATCAATAACTAATGCTTGCCTGTATTTTCAACCAAAAATACTTACAAAGCATCTGTGGCTTCAATTCCACCACTGTATGATATTTTGTTTGCATATTTTGGAATAATATCAATTCTTCCTTAACCATTATCAATCGTTTCTTCCATACGTATACAGGTAGCACTAAATGTGAATTTGTTAATCTTTTTTTGTCAACAATCTGCAAAAAATATATTATTTGCATATAATCAAATAAAAAAAACAGTAGATTATAAAATTATGCTGTTTATAAAATGAATTATGAAATGGATTGCATTATAAAATCATCACTGTTGCAAAACAGTGATCATTTAAAATAAGGTTTCAGAAGAAGCAAAAAAAAAGTGTAAAATGCAATAAAGAGGAAATTTCGCAGTTATGAACCAATTTGTAGCATATATTTAATGATTAGTAAATAAGAGGAAGCATAAGACAGGTGACAATTGAGCAGTTTATATTACTGTCAGAAGAAATGATATTGGTAACAAATTTTTAATCAATGGGGTACCATTTTTTGAATGACATAAAGAAAACAAAATAAACAAGTTAATTAATTAAAGTAAATTTCACACTAGAAGCCAACTACCATTTTCACTACCATCCAGTAAATGACCGTTTTCTCGTCCCTCTCTCTCTCATTTTCAACTTTGAAATATGTGCTTCCTTTGAACAAATAACATTAATTCCCTAAAAGTTTTGTTTCAAAATGCAATGAAAAAGGATTTTATGCCATCAAATCATTGAACGATATCCATGTAGCTATTACAAGATAAGTCGTGTTACATCAGCTAACACTCCATACTTTTTAACAAGCTTGTAGGGCAAATCGGATATATCAATCATGAGTCCATGCTTTTCAGCAAACTAGTTAGTGTTACTTTAGCTATTACTAATTTACTTGGCTACCTGGCTTTACTAATTACTTAGCCATTCGGCCTTTTTTTTTTAATTAATAAATTCAAATGAAAATATAAGTAGAAATGATGAAATTGAAATTAATTTGAAATGAAATTGAATGCAAAACTGAAATTGAGAAAAATATACCAGATCGTTTGAATTTAATTTCATTCCCAATTTAGGTAAGTAAAAAAAAGAAATGGGCAACAAAGGTCGATTAATCATTTGAACTTGAACAGAAACTATTTCTGTGAGGGAAAAGGATAAGAAAGGACGTGATAAATAATAGTATTGACAAACGTGTAAACGTGTAAGGGAGAGAAAAAAAGAATAATTTAACTTATACAAATTGAAATTAAAATTTTTTGGAGTAAACTAACAGTAACACTTCAAAGACGTTCATATAAATAATTTAAATATTAATGAAACGTTCTAATCACAATTGTGCAGTATAAAGAGCAACGTTTGCGTAGCAAACAGATGATATATAACGGCACTCATGAATTGATGATGACCATTGGAATAGTGGACAATTACACCGATTCATTATGAACTGAACTTGTGCAAGCAGCAATTGCACTAATGACGTGCACATCGTTATCGTACAATTCACACGCAATCGTCATAGATACATTACTTACGAACTTATCAGACATCCGTGTAGACAGACAGACGGACAGGCACACACACACAGACACACGTATACATGTGCGCAAATATATACACACACACACACACACACACATACATACACACATACACACACACATATACACACATACACACACATACATACACACACACATATACACACACACACATACACACATACACACACACACACACGCACTCGAACAACCACGTACACAGGCATACAACATATATCTTTTTGCGCCCATGCACAACCCGGATGAACACGTTCAGAATGGATGTAATGGTGGTCCTACAAGCGCTCAAATGTTGGTCTATGCGTGGGCGCACGTCTGTGTGATACGTGAGAGATTGTACAATCTTCACCTTCACAGTCGCCATACTTTGACCATAATAGCATGTGGTCTATCATACCCAATGATCAATTACTGGGTTACGGTATTGACCTTTCCGCAGTGTCACGCCATTAACTTTAGTTAATACAACCATACATTGAATTCAGTTATGCGTCGATCACGTGAAATGACGTCTTATGATGTGAGCGAAGAAATGATACTACTGATGCTGTATTAAAGCAATCGGCATGGTAACATAAGTCCTCTTGATTTGCTTCACGTAAGGTGAAGGAACCATTCAGGTAACTATATTCATTCTTCCACGTGAATGAGGGGAAGGGGTGATATAGCGGGTGCAGGTAGCCATAGTTACCTGAATAAGGGAATGATCCAGGTAACCATAGTCATCTGGATGAGATGGAGATGGTCCTGGTAGCCATAATCGCTTGAATGAGGTGGAATGGTCTAGGTAGACATAGTCACCTGAACGAGGGGATGGTTCAGGTGGCCTACTCTTCCACCTGGATAATTCCTTATCAGTTCATATCGCGAATATCTGCTTGATGCTATCCTCCTTTCTTCTCCCGTTCCCCAATTAATATTTGGTCTAAATAAGGAACATTCGAAATCTGAGAACGAAGAAGGATTCTCCAGGGAGATCAAATCTACCATCATTGGCTGATAATTATGACACTTTTTATGGGACACAAATGGGCAGTGAAAATTGAATTTCATGTATAAGAGAGCCTAAATATCAATATAAAATGTCCAACTGCGCCCATCCATTAGTGTGATGAAATGAGTGAACAAACATTTCGATTCATTGTTAAATGAAACAAATATGATCATTAGAAGCGAATTTTTAAGAAATAACTTAAAATTCATTCATATAATGATAATTGAAACATAAAAGGTAAATGAATATGAACGAATGAATGAAATGAATGTATGAATAAATTGAAAGTGATTGAATGCTTGTTAATAAGCATTTGAGATGAACGAAATTAATGGAAAAAATTGAACAAAATCCACTTTGACCACCGTCTTTTTCATTATTGAATTTTAATACAAATTGATATTTAATTCCAATTACTTCCAATTTTTAGCAAAAAAAGAAAATTTTTAACTTCATATGAATAAAAGTGTTGCAATGTGCAACAAATTTAAATGATTGAGTATTGGGAAATTAAAATTAAGTAAATAAGAATCGATTTGAAATGTAAAAATCAATATTAACGAATGGTAAAATTATTAAAATATTGTGAAATTATGAAAAAAAAGGAAATTTGCATATATTGGAAATATGCTTTTTTGTTTTTGAAGTAAATATTTTTTTCCCTCAAATAGTTAAGCGAATTCATTGCAAATTCCATCCATTCAATCTATTCATTTAATTAATTGAAATTTGCTTAGTATAACTGAACGTTAAGTTACATACTTATCAAAAAAAGTTATATACCATGTAAGTTGCTCAGAAGAAACTTTTTCTCTCCCAGGTTTTCCTTTTTGTTTTTTATAGCACAAATTCTTTAATTAATACAAAAAATTAATGTTTCAGTCGAAAATTTCACACATTCAAGCACCTTTATTATTATATAACTGAAAAATATTCGAAAAATACTTAACATAATTTGTTAAAAACTTTCCTTTACAAATCCAACCATTTTAAAATTCAAATTTAAATAAATTTCAATAAACGAAACTTGTTTAATGCGTACTTAAATAATGGATAAAAATTATTTTGGCATTTATTAGCAGGCACAAATGCATTGCTAGTTTCTCATCCACAAGTCATTATAGATCTATGACAACTGTGATCGATTTCTCCGGGACACATTGTACAGAACGGGATCAAATGACCTGACCTTCTGCCACAATACTCACGAACTTACCTATCTCATCATACACCCTTTTTTACAACATCTAATACATCGAATGCGTATGGTTCATTATGTTTTTTCTTTTTTTTGCGCTTTTCAAATTTAATTATTTAGCAAACTTTATAATTTCAGTAAACTGATTCGAATTTGATTATCCATTTTCAAATTCAAAATGATTTATATTATTTAACCTTTTAGGTGTTGAAAACGTCTATACGCAAAATTGTCATTTCGATTATCTCACATCTGCCATATTACTATTGCTGCTAGCTTGAACCAGGTTTTCATCGTAGTGGTCATCATAAGCGGTCAGTGAAAACGAATTATCCATTCTTACGCTTTTATCGGACATCGTTTACTAATCTCCTTTAAATTTTGACTTTATTTACAATAAAATTTGATTTCAAAATACTTGTCTTCTCAAGTTTCGTTATTGGACGATTCGTTAGGGGGAATTATTTCAAGGAAAACAGATTTTTGCATGAACTAATCCAAAATTATTACTTATTTACTTATCCTATTTCAAGTTATTCTTTTTACTTTGGGGATTAAAAAGTTTGCTAAGTAAGTTGCTTTCAATGTTATATAAATAACTGATTTATTCTGTTAATTAAGTTATTCTTTTAAAATAAACTACAAATTCCAAAATTTTTAACCGAATTTTTAATTTTTTAATTGATTTCTTTTGCCATTTAAAGCATTTTGTTATGGAGTAATTTTTTTTCCCTTTTTTTGCATATAATATTGATTTGTTCACTTTTATATAATTATTTACCTGCTAATTCATTCGTCATTCATTATGCTAATTACATGAAAGTAATTAGGTATTGTACAACAAACATTCATTTTTATTCCACTTCTGTTCAATACTATTCTTCGTTTTTATTTATTTATTTATCTCCTCTTTGGAAATTCCGGTTCACTTTTTCTTTTTTTTTCAGATAATTTAATTGGCAATTAATCATACTGACATTTTTATCTGTCAACTCAATAATGCCACAACAAATAACCGAAATCAAAACATTTCTGAAAGCCGTCCAACGAACGGATGCAAAATCGATTAAAATCAAGAAGAACAAAGAGGACGTGAAATTCAAGCTACGATGTAGCAAATATCTTTATACTTTTGTTGTCAAAGATAAAGACATGGCTGATAAATTGGAAGAGAAATTACCAGAAACTATTGAAGTGAAAAAATTGAAGTGAGAAGGCAATAATGATAAATTGATCATGTATTATTTATGTTTTACTTTATCTTTTGATTGTTTTTTTATCGATTGATTGATTTGTTGCTTAAATATTTGCAAAAAAAAAAAATTTTTTTCGATTCGATCTTTGAATTATATGATGATTGATTGAAATGACCATTACTAACTTCAAAAAGTTTATTCAATTTTTTGCTAAGCATTATATAAACTTCTCCCTCATCCCCCTTTCATCATCTTTCGTTCATTTTGATATCTTCCAAAAGTTTAAAAAATTTTGAAGTTCCATATACGAAATTGTTTCACTCATTCAACTTAACTTGACCAATTGAGGAATGACTCTTAGCACAATTAAATTCGTCATTTGAAATGGCCAAATCAGAATTTGAAGTATTTGATAAATGACGATTGGATTAAATTTTCCCTCAAATAAAAAACATTTCACCTATTATTAGTCATTTGTTATACAATTTATTACCGTTAGTCTTAGTTTAAGCAACAATTTAATTAATTGAAATGAGGAGGAAAGGAAATTAGCAACATATATTTCCTTTTGACCTTTATAAACCATTTCAAATATCAGGATGAATTCCCACTGTTTACATATTAAGAATAATTTTTTTCAACTTGAAAAATACAAAATTTATCGTCAACAATTAAATATGACAGAGACAGGGAGAGGGAGAGGGAGAGGGAGAGAGAGAGAGAAATGAGACCAAGAGAATTTATCGATCAATTGCAGTAATTTTGAATTCTCCCTCCTCTCCTTCCTTCTCTCGTTCTCTCTCACGAAATACTTTTCCATTTCAGCATGGATTAATACTTGAATAACAATGATAGGAAGGGCGATATTTGATTTCTTCTTCACCAAAAATTAAAGTTTAATTTAAAAAAAAATTAAAGTTTAACTTTTGATTTGAGAAAAAGAAAGCATAACATTCAATCATATTTATGGATTAAATTTAATATTTCAAAAAGAAATTTTGTTGAAATTTCAAGAAATATTGGCAGCAATTAAGGGAGCTATTTGAAATCCTTTAAAAACAGTTGACAAATTCGTTCAGATACTTTGATCTTCCTTGCATTCTTCCACTTCCATTTTCTTCTTAACTCATAAAATTCTACCCAAGATACAGGGGCCCAATATGTCCGACCTCGTAGTGTAGCGGTTATCACATCTGTCTAACACACAGAAGGTCGGCGGTTCGATTCCGCCCGAGGTCACGTGTCGATTACTAGTTAGTTCATTACTAACTTACAGTTCCAAAATACTGTTCGTGATTTTCGAACAACTGACCTAATCTTGAACATTGTATAACAATTACTTCCAAACGATTCAAGAAGAGACCACTTTTTAACAATTTAGTAACTGTATGAAAAAAAACGTTAAATTGTAACGGTTCATTTACTACATTCCATGGGAAAACATCGACAATATTATCAAGCAACTGATGAATCAATTAATGGATTAATTGATTCATCCAACTTATACCTTCGTCAGTAATGACTATTCGACGACGTAAAAGAGGGAACATTTAATAACTTCTATCCAACAATCATAAAATCATTGGTTCTAACATGAACATGAAATGCTAAGGTCTTTTTCGATGTCACTCTTGAGCTTACACCATTTTATATAATTCGCGCTGACAGGAAGTACCAAATTTGTGCAAAACAAAACAACCAGCAGCATAACCCGTTTTTTCTCGTGAATTATACCGTAAAAATTACTAAAATGACTCGTTTAAAATTGAATCTATTTGTTTTATCTCGCAGTTAATTTTCGTAAAAAAAAGTCATAGTTTTAATTCATAAAGAAGTAATTCATAAAAGTCCACAATTTGCTGGATACATTTTTTTTTCGACGGAAATGATGAAAAATTAGTTTTAACAACCGGTTTCATCTTTGACCATATCAATGATTTTTGAAATTTTGAAATGATACGGTTGATAAATCAAAAAACAGAAGTTAAACTTCTACTAAATTTCTTAAAAAATCGTTTATTTAGAGTGAATTTATTCAAGAATTAACAAAACCAAACAATTTATCAATAATCCGCTACATTATCATTCCCTTTATTTGGCACAATGAACCTTTGATTTCGATGTGACAAAATTTGATCAGTACTTGGTCACCAATCTCTAGAGACTTCTTTGTATTCTTCACAAGTGCAAAAAAAGTTATCGTGTTGTGTAGTTTAGCGGTTACGAATTTCTAAAGGAAAAACAGGATGAAAAATTGAAATTAACATGCACCTTCGATATATCAATAATCAAGATAATTTTTAATAGCAGTTGCTATTAAAAAGTCAATGATCGCTAACATAATATGATTTAAAATGTTAAGCATCGTTTCCTATTTCTTTACCATTCCGTGATGCACAATCAAGGGAAAGTCAACAACGATGGGTAGAATACCCAATGGGAAAGTGGATAATAGAACACAGAACGAAATTGAAGCAAATTAGTACTTCCTAAAACTGAAAACCTTTTCAAATTTCAACTCCTAAAATTTGTTTTCTAAAAAAAATTTCATATTTCTAACCACAAAAATAAAGTACCTTATCAATAGCTGTTACCACGCAATTGTAGACGTGGTCTTGTTTCGGGCGAAATACAATACAGTTTACATTTAAATCAATATGCATACATGGTTGATCAGCGATACAAAACGGCTTGTCAATAATATCAACCCTTCCCACAGCTAATAAGATGCCGTTTAATCTGAAATATGAAATTATATACGGATTTCAACAAAAAGTAACGCTTCAGTGGAATGTAATTTGATTTGAATTCAACAAATTAATGGATATAAAACAAATTTCAACATAAACTAACACACAATTAACTACCAAACATCAAAATTAAATTAAAGTCCTAGTTTTTCCTTCTTGTAAATAACTAGTCAGCTTCCTAGTCTTGCTTAAAGGAACTTTTAACTGTTTTTGATTTATAAAATTTATTATATTATACAGCTTGAATTTCAAGCTTCACTCTTAACTTGCCTGCTGCACGGCCAATCATTACTCTTAATGAAGAGAAAAATTAAATCATGAAATAATGACTTCATTTAATACACTTAGATATCGTTGATCAGCTCCCTGCTGACAAACGAATAGAAACTACAAAAACTGATCACGAAGCTTACGACTTCCTGTATTGACCAAGTGATAACTTTAAAATATATTTGATAGCATTAGCAGCTTCTCCTAACTGATGCCATCCAATCGTTATGTGGCGCTTTTCCACTACTACAAACAGATCGCATTCTGTATCTGTAGTCATAATCCTGCAATTTTGAAAATAACAATTAGAACAATTAATAAATTAAAACTGAAAAAAAGAGTATAGGCCGAAGGAAAAGTTTTAGGTATTTATTTCAATCGTTGATATTTAAAAAATCCAAAGTTTATCGCGATATTATAATAAATTCTTTTCCATCAACGCTGTCCTGTTATCAATATAATACAAAGCAGTGAATTTAATTTCGAATACCAACAAAATCAACAAATTTGGCGAATTTCTATCAGTTGGAAAATTATCAAACAAAAACAGTTATAGCCGAAGAAAGAAAGAAACGAAAAGATGACGAATTCTACCGTCTTAATCTTTGATAACTCATCCCAATACATCGATTCATTCCCATTTTCAGTTTATTATTATGATAGTTTGTTGCTTTATTTTTGTTCATTCCGATGAAATTTCGCGACACCTCATTTGAATCCATCTCCAATAAATTACCATCGTTTTGCAGTTTCATCCTTTTGACGCCGACTCCAATAGTAGCTTCCGTATTCTCAGATCTCTTTCGCTTACCCATATTCTAAATATTCCAGTTTTTAAAAATCTAAAATTAAAAACCCAGAAGCAGCAAATTCAAATAAGCTTGCAAAATACAACAAATGAAAACAAACAAATGAATTATGGTTTTGCGATTCCCGAACACCAAGTTGATCAATTCAAAATTTTTTACCAAATTTGTCTTAAAATGAAAGCATACCAAAATCCTAAACACACTGTTTGATAATTTGACAAAAACCGTCGTGAAATTAACGAAACCTGTCCACTTAGTTCGTCTTGGAAGGATGAAAAAAGAAGCTAATGTTCATTACTGCAACAAATTCATAAGCTGTAATAAAGTAACACTAAATGGAGAAAATAGAAAACTTTATTGAGTTTGAACAATTTTTACATAAAAATGAACACAATATGCAAAAAGAGTCGGGAAATTAAAAAAAAAAGAAAAACAGAAAGTGACGAAATAAGTAGTGGGGTGTTCGAGTTCATGGACTGTAATTATTTGAAAGAGCAATTCCACATTTAGCTCAAAACACTGCGTTTTGATAAATCGATGTATAACTATAGAAAAATTAACAAGTACATTTTCCAGCAAATTCAATTAACTAAGTAGATCAAATAAAAACCTTCAGCTGCAAATCATTTGTTTAAATAACTATTTCAAAATATGCTATAAACACATCCTATAATTATTATGTTACACGCCTAATAACATACAATTAACAAATTGGTAATGCAAATATAAATGTAACAAAGATTCCAGAACTATAATTTTAATGGTATATTGGGCCATAAGTGTGCACCGGGTTGAGAATAATTCTGTTCGAACCGAAGATCCAAGTGCGCTTCCATTGCCAAGATTTTCTCCGCATCAGTGCCGTATAATTCTTTCATTTTATCGAACTTCTTCCGTCGTTCAGCAGGGCCATTGGGTAATTGAAACGATCGCTTTTCGCTGCCGTAAACTCCAACTGCAATAGCATGGTTGAAGAATAAAAATCGCATCATTTCAACATGATCCTTCAAGTTACCTGTACATCTTAAATAAAATCATTTTACTCATGCTTAAGTTTCCAGGAAGGTGAAAATTCATTACACTGGTCAGAAAAGTTAGGGTAGTTCAGATTGCTTTAAACAATTGATGAACCGGATTATGAAATCCAGATAACGAGTAAAGAACAGCGTCCACAAGTTTTTTTAGTGATCACTATTTCTCGCAAGATATTCTAGACAGCATGATCAATTTTAGTAAAGACTCAGCCTAGAAGAGCAGTACAGAAGAAAGGAACTTACTCTTGTCAGCCATCACATATTGATCCTCCCTGAAGCAGTTGTCGTCGTTATATTTCTTGGCTTCTTTACTTCGATCAGCATCTCATAAAACATACAAACAGTTTAGAAAAACATCCTTTTCATAATAATTGCTAACGGATGTTAAAAAAAAAAAACCTCCAAGTTAGTAATTAATTCATTAATTTAATGAGGAAGTAATTCAGTTTACATGCTAGTGGTGATTTCCTCCAAAAATTCTATAATTGATAGCGATGTATGCAACGAAAAAAGACCAAAGTAAATTTATAAAAAGATGAGTAATTTAAAGTAATTTAAAAAAAGTAAATTTAATACAATAATTTAAAAGATATATTATCCCTCTCTAAGAATTACAAAAAACAAATATTTAAGGCATTCATATATTTGAAAGATACGTACTTTGTTTCCTATGCTCGATTGTTTGTCGGAAAAAAGCAATCATTTCGCTACTCATATCAATGTCTTCATCTATATCCTTTGAAGATAACTTCTGTCTAACATCCGGTAAAGAATCATTACTGCTAGTTCGTGCTAAAATACATCGTTATTTTTCCTTTCAACTTGCATTTGTGAAATACAAACTATTCGGTAAACAATACATACAACATATACATATTACTGATATGCATTTGCAAAATAGATCACTGATATACGACGCAACCGATACATTTCTCATTCTAATCCTAATCTGCTTTTTTACTGTTAACTTGGTAAATTCATAATAGACTAGCAGTTTATCAAATCCAAATCAAAGTTGTTCACAATGTACAGGGGAAAAACAAGTGATGAATTAGCACAAAGAATAATTGCAAACTAAATTATTATCATAAAAATTCCTAATAATCCCCAATGACGAACAGAGAATTTAAGATGAAAAATTCAAAGCTACTTTCACAAATTATGTATGAAAAATACAATTTAAGGTAAAAATGCATTCTTGATGAAGTAAAGAAAAAATGCTCATCATCGGTAAATAATACACATAACACAATCCGTAACTTCTAACTGCTTAAAAACATACCTGTACATGGCAAGTGATTGCTTTTAACATGTCTCTTACTGATATTAGATTTCATATCGACAGGATTAGAAATCGTATCAGATGAATCGTTGATTGCGTATTCACGAGCTGCTTGATGTGCTTTAAACCATCGCAGCGCTGCTTCATGATAGTTCCAAAAGCTCTTTAGATGTCGATCATCCATAAACCAAACCTTTTTATCACGCATCCTCTAAATGAAAGGTATAAATGAAGTTATAATTTGCAAGCAAAATTACGCATAAGCTTACAAGAAAGAATAGACGTAAGTCTTTGTCTGCAATACTATTTTACCAATTGTACACAGCAACATAAAACCTTTTAACAATTTGAAAACAGCACCTAAATGACGAAAACATCCTTCAGCAGTTCTAGTTATTGAAGAAATATCCTTGTCATCTCATCACTATCAACACCGAAATTACAGCATCAATGACGACTTCCGATGTAATCCATAACTTAATAATTGCTAGCTATATTCTCATCCAGTGTTTAAATTTTCCGATTTCACATTCGCATAAATATAATAAGCATATAAAACATGATGTGAATTGACAGCAGAATTGCTAGAATAATTTATTATCGATAATGGAAAACCAATTACTTTTTCTGTCAGAAACTATTGAATACTTAAAAAAACGCACAAATGCATACATATAAGCACATATGCGGCAATTCCTGCCAAGAAAATAAGCACCATAATCAAAGACTTTCTTTTCCAAAATAACTAAATTTAAATCAGGAAAAAAATATAACAAAAATAGTGGAACTATTGGAACCTAACAGAAAGCTCATAATTATGATAATTAATATAGATATTTCGAATTTGGCTTCAGATTAAAACTGCCGCTGTCAAAACAATAAAATAAGGTAAATACTGCAGAGTTTAAGAGGAAGATATATAGCATCAACTCATTTACAATCAGCACATGCACATGCAAAATTAGAAATCCTTTGGAATATGTCAAATTCCTTTTTTTTTTTTTTTTGTAATTTTAGTGATGCAAATGCAACTATCGAGTGTGTTTTGAATTATAAAACAAATATTAAATCAATACGATTATATTAATCGACAAAAGATTATTAGATGAAAACGGATAATGTCGAGAACAACTGCTACAAACGAAACAACTGAATCCGCCGATTTTTGAGGATGAAAACGGTCTATACTGAAATTTTTCTTCACATATTTTAACTTCATGAAGGAATAAAAGTTGCTTGAACCAATCTGTTTCGTCTACTGTTTCCGTGACTCAACTATAAGCTCAAATCTGGTGTCCAAGCAATCATAACTTTTGACCTAATGTCTAAGTAAAATATTCTTTAATCGAAATAAAAGCAATTGCGGGGAAATCATTCATGCAAGCATACTCACTAATTTGTGCTTGAATAATTATGCAATTATTAAACGTCACGTCAAGCTTAAGTGATGAGAAGGAATGAGCAGTTAATATGAAGCAAACAAAAACAACGGACCATTTTGCAAAACATTCAGGATTTGAGATTCAAACACAACAGATTCAAATGTAACACTAATTATCTTTTACAGTTCCAAGTTCAGTTGTAAATATGAACTTATGCTTATTTTGAGCACCATCAATTCATAAATAATTAACGAAAATAATTAACCGATAACTGCCCATCATTATGCAAGAGAAGAGGTGAGCAATAACAAACAAAAAAATTATTAAAGAAAAAAAATAATCGCAGTTGTTGAGCGATCAGATAGCCATATGTGCATTACCATCATCGTCATGCTCAACATGCTGCTCTTCTTCGGCTTTCTTCAACTTCTTCTGACGTCG